TTTTAGCAGTTTCAGATAACTCACCATTGACGCAACATCTTTGACTGCGGTTGCTTAGGTATGATTCGAAGAATTTGATACCATTTTCATCAACGCCACAAATTCGTAACTTCCGTAAAAGAATGGTGTGATCAATAGTATCAAATGCTTTTTTAAGATCGATAAAAAATACTCCGTTAAGAAGGCCTTTATCTATATTTATTGACCGATTATCCGTGGCTTCTATTGGGGCAGTTAGTGTACTGTGCAATGATCGAAATCCAGATTGAGACGCAGATATTAGATTGTTGTTGTTCAGATACTCATACAACTGCTCAAAAGTAAACTTTTCAAAAATCTTTGCTACTACAGAAATAAAAGATATTGGTCGATAGTTGTTCATGTCGTCTTTTTTACCCTTTCTTAAAAATTCGAGTAACTCTCGCTAGCTTCCAGTCTGTAGGAAAGATGCTTGTACTTATAGTCTTATTAAATATTTGAGTTAACGATGGGGCAACTATTTCAGCTGAAATTCTTAAAAGTTTGCAAGGTATTTTGTCAAGACCAGCTGCTTTCCTTTCGTTAATTGCTTTTATTTTTTTGTAAACAGCATATACAGTGAGGGATTTCATTGAAAATGTGGTTTCAGCAGGCACAACATATACGTCAGGTTCTACGGTAGAGGGTGGTATATCGGATGCTAAATTTTCACCCACACTAGCAAAGTGAGAATTAAATGTCTTCGCTATTTGCTTGGGTGTATATATGGTTTCTTCACCCACTTTGATATTGGATATAGTTTTGTAGCTAGAGGCATTACGAGAGTTTAATTCGTTAATAAGTTTCCAGGTTCATTTTGGATTTTTCTTGTTAGCCTCAAGGTTAACGTTAAAATATTGCACTTTTAATTTCATTATTCGTGCTATTTCGTGAATGCTTATATTGTTGCCAAATTAATGGATCACCGGTCTGCTTAGCTTTCTTTTTCAGAAAATCTCTCTTACGCATTTTTTGCTTTAATTGGCTGGAGATCCAGGGAGATTTCTTTTTCCCAACTCTTTTTGATCCTGATTGGTGCATGCTTGTCAATACAATTAATTAACATGTTCTTCCACTTCACCCACATTCCATCAGGATCATTGCTTAGGTTTATGTCTGCCCATGCTTGTTGTTCTAATCTCTTAAATAATTTTCTGTGTTAAAATTTTTCATGCTTCTTATATGAACTAGTCGCGAGCATTGTGTGTTTGTAGTGTGCTTTGTGTATCATATAGACTAAAACATGGTCACTTATAGAAAGTTCTATTATCCCTGAATTGACGATCTTTGATGGAGCGTTTGTAACACAAAGATTAATAAGGGTAGAAGAATATGGTGTAGTTCTGGTAGGATCTACAATAAGTTGTTTTAAGCCAAAAATTTCGAATATATCATTCAATTTATTTCCATTGACTGATGTTACACCCGGCATAAGATCCACGTTTATGTCGCCTAGGAGGAAATAGTCATGATTTGTCGCATCAACTTTCTCTACTATTTTCTCAAAATGATCAAAATGGCACACTGGTGAGTCTGGGGGCCTATACCAGGTACTAATTAATAGTGATCTAGTTCGAGGTTTAGTAATTTCTACAGTTAGATACTCTAATTCATCAGAGCTTAAATCTTTAAATATTGTGTAGTTAAGATAGCATCTTATATAGATACAAACACCGCCCCAAGTCGTCCATTTATTTTTATATCCTTTCTTACTATTTTATAACCAGGTATATAAACCTCATTATCCTTAATTGAAGAATCAAGTTTTGTTTCATTGATTGAAATAATATCAATATCAGATTCATTCATAAAAACTCGAAATTCATCAATATGCGCTAAAAGACTATTAATATTTAGAGAGGCCATCACTAAACCATTAGCAAACGATTTATAATTAATATCAAAACACTTACGGCTTATATCTGGCAGCACAGGTTTAGACTTCCGCCCGGCATTTTCTTTATCGTTAAAATGAGTCATTCCTGAGTAGTTTAATTTGTTGGATGGCAATTCAAGCGAGAAATTATCTTCAACAGTTCCTCCAGCTGGTTTATGGTTCCCGTTTGAAAATCCCGTCTGGGGCGGTTACGCAGTTGGCTTGATGGTTTTCCTCCTTTAACGAAGTTGATGAAATGGGTTGCTAATATTGCTGTACCCTTTGAATTCAAGTACAGCTTACTGGAGTTTAGAGAGGTTTCGTCCAAAGTTGAGTTGTCAATAAATTTAACACTATGCTTTAGTGAGATGGCCTTGATCTTCTCGTTGACCTCATTGACCCTTGATGTCGAGTTGATGTCTTGTCTTGTTGTAATACCAGATATACCAAATTTTGAATTAGGAAATTTCTCCTTTACTCCAACAATAAGTTCTTCAATGTCGTTTATACATTCGTCCACGGATTACGAAGGAATATTGTTTGTTCCCGCATGAACTACTACGTGGGAAGGCGTTAGGTTTGATTGTATTGTATTGAGTTTATTGTTTATTTCTGAGGCCGTTTTACCAGGATAAGTAAATTTATGCACCTTTTTCTTAGACAATTTTGCTGGAATAATGTGTTTACAATGGAATCGCCGATGATTTTTTTTTTATTTATTGTTTTCCCATGTATATATATAAAAAAAAAGCTACTTAAAATATGTTACAATAATTTAAAGATTTTGGGCTAGAGACCTACTAGAAATCTTGATAGACTTTTTTATTTAGGCCTCTAGTTACTGTTCATTTGCGATAGATTACATTAATTATTTACAGTCAATCAATACAATGTGTAAAATCAGAAAGTTTTGACGTATATATACTATATGTACAAAAGAGAAAAAGAAGGGAGAATTTTCGTATTATATAAATTAAATATGTTGTAGATACATTTGAATTTTACAATGATTGGGCTACAATATACTGAAGTATTATATATTATATACATATAGATAAGAAGTACATGTTATATATTGCATGTCTTATATATTGGAAATTGTGTATAGCAGAAAATGTTGTTTAATTTTTTTTTTTTGAAGGTGTTATAGGAGTTTATTTGATTAAGTTTTGTTTCTAACGAATTCCATACATCAACTCCTTTATTTGAGAGAGTGTGTTTTACATAATTTGTCCTTTTATAACATTTGTGAAGCTTTGAAGCATTTCTCGTGTTATGTTCATGAATTTGGTTGTTTATTAAAAAATAATTTTTAAAGAAATCTGGTAAATTATTAAGGTGGTGGTATCGAAACATAAATAAAGCAGTTAAATAGTCATTGATTTTGAAGATGTCTAGGATATTTAAATCTTTGAAAATTGGGTCACTGTGCTCTAAGTAAGACTTGAAAGTCATTAGGCGCACAATTTTTTCTTGTATATTCATTATTTTTTGGATTCTACTTTTATAAGTATTAACCCATGTTAAGTTGCCATAAATCAAGTATGGATAGACTAATGCATAATATATCAGTTTTAATGAATTTCGGTTCACAAAGTGTCGCATTTTAGCTATTATACCAGAAGCTCTTACTACTATTTTCTTTGTTACCTTAGCTATATAATCTTTCCAGGTCAAACATTCGTCAATGATAATACCAAGGAAGGTTGTATTTTTAACCTGTTCGATATTTTTACCATTTATGTTAATTTTAATTAATTGACTTGGTTTTTTATTTGGAGATCTGAATGAAATAACTTTAGTTTTTGTAGTGTTTAAAGATAATTTATTCACATTTAACCATTCAGCAACTTTATCAATTTCTGTTTGTATAATATTACTAAGTGTTTTTATGATGACTACGCTTTGTTTTGCTTCCTGTAATTTTTCTTTGTTTTGGTTCCTACGATCTGTTATTTGGCCAGTTAAGGTTCCGCCGTTATTACTCCTACTTGAAGTGTTATTGTCTTTGGTTGGTTGATGATCAGGATCGGATTGTTGAGTAATGTCAAGGTTCTCCATTTCCTTCGCCCACTTCCTCGTTTAAGGTGTCAAAACTATTCTGCAAGTTCAATGTAGCAGATGCTTGATTGTCTTTGTTCTTCGGGACCGACGTTGTTTTCCATTCTCCAAGGCGTTTTTGAGTGGTGGTTCGATTTTGTTCGACATCCTGTTGCTGTACTGTCGCGCAACTCAGAGTTTTCTTTCATGAGACTTAGTTTGTAGTTCCTTAGCTCATCAACGACCTTCTCTGAAGTAAGCAACGGATTAACTTTAAATTTTAATTGATTCACCTCAGTTCTAAGGCTTTCCATTGTCGTGTTCGTGTTTTCAGTGAATTCCAACATTTGCTGTTTGAAATCATCGAAGCCTTGGCATTTAACAGCATCGTTAACCAGATTTTCGGGCGTTTCTTTACACATAGTCGATAGTAACTTACATAGATCTTTTGTTTCTATTGAATCTCCAAACAGGGTAATCGATTTCGTGGTTTTACTGTGCCATTTCAAACTCACATTGGCTGTATCACTAATGAACAGCTTGACTTCACCACCAGGCGACGTCCATCCGCCTGAAAGTTTCAATTCATTTGACACAAATTCTTTTAAGTCGTTTAATGTACCGCCCCAGTAAAGCTTTTCACCTATATTTGTACACAGATTTACTGCCATGCTTAGTAAATTAAGGTAGATATAAGCGCCCTGTATATAGTATAAAATTAGCGGAGCACAGAGTACACGTCTGACCACCTTGGCAAACAGAATGTACAGAAATTCTCGCATGCAAATAACTTTGCTTTCTTTTTTTATTTAAAAAATTCAATATAATAAAAAAGGGAATCAATATTAAAGATGCTGTAAAGTCGCATATATTCTGCGCATCAAAACATTCCATCAGTGGGAGAGCAACCTTTGGAATGTTGTTAATATTTCGCACCTTCCAAACTTTCTTGAATTGAATCTCTAGTCCGCATTCATTTACAAGCATAGCGAACCTGAAGAGTGTTAAAAATTCAGTATACTATATATCTAATCATATTTTACAACTGTAGCACTGAGTTCAAAATGTAAACAAAGCGTTTGTTTACATTACGGACTTTACATCACCTTTAAAGATACACTGAAATTATATGCTGTCTTGTTTAGTTGTTTCATATACGCAAAGCCAAGGCCGTCGGGTTTTAAATCAATTATAAAATCAATATTTAAAACAAACTTACCTTCGTTAACGTCGGCTCCCTTCTTTTAGCCGATTCTTTCGCCCTTTCTTTCTTGAAATTTACAAAATCTTGCAAAAATGCGAGCAAAAATGAAATATATTTGCAAGAAATTTATCAATCATCAAATCAAGAAATGTTTGCTATTTCGCTGTCGTCATGCAGTCGCTATAATGCAAACTTTAAATTGGACCAATCACTGCAGTGTTCGCTATTCATGACAGTCCGCCATATTTTTGAGATCAGTGAGGATGACCACCCACGCACAGTGAGCCACGCCCGCGATCATTGGTGAACTTTAGACTTCGCTAACGCTTTCGTTTCCCCGGGTGTAAATAGGCGGGGGGAATTAGTACCCTCGCACGGCGCTTCGCGCGTCGGCTCGGGCTCGGGGTCGGGGATTATTTATCAGAAAAATTTCGTCCGCTCTCATTTCAATCCAAAATACTGTAAGTATGAAATAGTATATTAGAAATTCTGGGTTTTTTTTTCTCAAGATTATAGCGTCAGCTAATACAGCAATATATAAGGTTTCAACACTCAATAAATTTCACCTGTCCAACTTGAGCAAATTGAATTTAAATTACATGTTTATGCCAGAAAAAGGATCGTGACTAAAACACCACACGAGTACATACGAGTAACAACTGTAACATACGAGTAACACACAAGTACATACGAGTACATACGAGCAACACACGAGTACATACGAGTAACATACGAGTGCATACGAGTAACACACGAGTACATACGAGTAACATACGAGTAAAACACAAGTACATACGAGTACATACGAGTAGAATACGAGTACATACGAGTAAAATACGACTAGTAAACTTGTTTTTAGTGTTTGTAGATTGAATACAGGCAAAAAGATCGTCTTTTCTGTCGAAAAACGTGGAATTGGGGAACGGGGAATGGAGGAACAGGGAATGGAGGGAACGGAGAATGGGGAATGGAGGAACGAGTAACGGGGGGGGCGGAATCGAGCAATTATGAATTATTATTAATACGTAATATTAATCATATGTACGGGGGGAAAAGAACCGAAAAAAAGAAACAGAAATTCGACAGGATAAACGGGAATCGGGGAATTACGAAACTATAAAACGGACTCTGGTGTCTTGGGAATTAGAAAACCGCTCAATGAATTAAAAATAGTAAAGAAATTTAGCGAAGCTTTCCTTTATTAGTACAGCGTATCATAAAAAAGTCAATCCACATTGCTTATGTCCGATCATTAAGTAATATTAATAATAATAACATTAATATTGCTTATGTCATTACTAATATACTTGCTATATAATAAAACAAACTTAAGGACTAGATGCAAGCCCAAGGCGGTCTTTATGCTCCATATGATATCTTAAAGTGATTATCCTATTTTAAATATCTTACAAAGCAAAACTAACAAAACACAAAATACTTCAAAATACGCAGATTTTAAGTTAGCAATTTTAGTTGGCAAGTACGTTTCTAAAGGACCCAGCCGAACTCTCCTGCAAGCCTTTGGACGTGCTCCACCTTGAGAAGGGGAGGAAAGTCTGGAGGAACGAGAACGTCGCCAACTGGAAAGCTTGGATACTTTGCTCTGATGCAGGCTGATCGATCGGAAATGAAAATGCACGTTCGAGGCTCACTTGAAAACTGGATTTGTCCTGCAGGGCCTTTTTAACATACAAGCATTGCGCCCCCGCCACGAAATCCCATTTTGCCCCCCCCCCCAGGAAGAGTCCTTTTTTCCTAAATTTATACAAACAAACCAGCGAAGAATAACAAATTGATATTAGGCTTTCCAACTTCCACGAGTGTTGATATAACTATATATCAATACGGAAAAATGTTTTATATTTTTTTTATAATATAGCAATGTCAAAAGCCCGAAGGATGAGAAAAATTTCCGTGTTTACGAGCGGCGGAAAATTTCCCGTGTTGACATTGAGTTATATCAACACGGCTCTTAGCCAATCAGCGTTCAGAATTTACAAATGCTATATTATAATAATGCTTTTAAAACGAAAATTATCCAGATTGCCCTAAAATATCGTCAGTTTTGTCCGTTGAAAGTTGTCCATGCGGGAATAATATTTTATCGCCACAATGGTATGACAACACAATTTTTAGTTTGCTTTCCAATTACGGAGGCGGAATATGATCTACTATACTCACAGCCAGGGACACCGAAAAAGGGGGAGCAGGAGGGGCAGCCGCCCCCGCTGCACTTTACCAGAAGGGGCAAGGGGAGCAAAGGTGCCCTTCAATTTAAAGAATTGTCTTGGCGAAATAGCGAATTGTCAAAAATTTTAGTGTGATTCTTTTACGAATTTGCTTCAGAAAACGCAAGAAATGCAGTCATCGGGCTTTAAGAATAGCACAATCGCCTGGCGGAGAACCCCCTCACACCCCTATCATCCAATAAATAGAAAACATGATTAGGCAAAGTTCAACTCCCGATGTTTTGCAAACATCTCTCTGTATATATCAATTCAAAAGTGCCCTTTAACAAAAATCTGCCCCCCTTGCCTTCACATCGTTCCGGCGTCCCTGCTCACAGCCCCATACCTAATTTTAGTGTGCAATGATAACCAATTTGTGCAGTGATAAAAATGAATGTGCACTGATAAAATGTAAAATGTACAGCAATAAAATTTGCTTTGATAAATTGTCAATTTTATGAAGAAAGTGAGGCAATGAGCAGAAAGTATTAATAATCACTAGAAAGTATTAATAATCAAAACATTTTTAACGAGAACAACTTGAATGAAATTGAAATAATGACTGCCAATTTATCGAACGTCAGCACTAATATTATACTTAAGTTTTATCAAATGCCAAAGTCTCCCATCAAAGATCGATCTCTTTATGAGCTTGGATGTTGGTGTGAATGATACTTAACTTTTTGTAATTATATTAGTGTATAATCTTCAGGATTCTATAGAATGTCCCCGTGGGTGCATTCCCCTGGAACTCTTTTACAGTTTATCACACCTAAGCCGCCTCCTATTTGCCAAAACAAAAATATTTCGTTCCTGCAAGCATATGATTATCAAACTACGCTGTCATAGAAAGTCGTAACAGCAAGTGTTGACAAGGCCGCCCAGAGAGAGGCAAGGGAGGGGGCAAATTGAGCTAGACCCCAGTTAAAGGTGGCCCAGAAAAGAATTACATTGAAATTGAAATATAGTTATAACTGCCAACAAACTTCCAGAATGCAGGATTTGGCCATTTTTCGCACTTGAGATTTCAAAATTTTCCTTGGGAGAATGCCCCCGGATCCCCTCAATCGTAGTCTTAGAAGATGGAATCACAAGGGGTCACAACTCAATTTTTCCCCTGGGCCCCAAAATTTCCCTGCAGGGGGGCGCTGTACAGTGCATGTTGATTTTGTGATCATTTTATATATCATTTGTAGCCTGTCTTTTAGTTACACATTACTAAAAAGGGTGCGTTCAGAAGTTTTGAGGGCGTAGCTTCTGCTCGGCTAAACTTTGCACAAAAATGTGCAGTGATAAAAAATTCTTAAAATTAGGTATGCACATGCAGCCCTCGAAATTCAACTATTTTTGCCTCGGCAAATAATTGCCGAAGTCTTTCGATAATTTGCGAGTTTGCCTCGGCAATTTTTTTTGCCGAGGCACGCAATGAAATCATCTTAAATTCCTTTGGCAATTCCTTCGGCAATTACTTCGGCATTCACGTCGGCAGTTGTAATTAAAGTAAAGTACATACGGAAATTATTGTAAACAGATATTATAACGAGCGTATAGATTCTGACGGTTGACAATTTGTTATTTTACAAATTCCTGATCCAAAATGTTTTTAAAAAGTTAGTGGTAATTAACAACAAATTGTATGAAAGAATAAACTTGACGGTCATCATGCACGCGACAGTCTAAAAGATAAAACAAAGTTTCTCGACGTGCCGTCTTTAAACCATCAAGATTGTTCTTTATTTCAGCCGAAGCAGAAAAGCTCAAATTTATATATTTTGTAATTAGCTACGAATGAAATCTTCAGTTGTTCATCCGACGTCGATGACAACAATTCGAACAAAGAAGTGTTACAGAAAACGAACACTGTACTTTGTAAATTTAAGCAAAAAAAAACGAAGAGACGCTGTAGTTTGTAATTTAAGGTACAATGGGTGGAATTGCCTCGGCATTTTTCAGTTGCCGAAGCAAACTATGAAAAATCGTAACTTACCTCGGCATTTCACGAGTGCCGAGGCGAATTTCGAGGGTTGACTCAAGCATACTTTTAAAGGAAAGTTAGTAGTTCATTTTATCATTTACGTTTGACCTTGATCGGCCAGAGGGTTGCAAACATTCAACTATCCAGCTTTAACTATAAAGCCTTTTTACAAAATATATACTTTTGGTACTTGTTACTCTGTTAAACTGGAAGGCAACCTTAATGTCTGTAGAGTGAGTCTACTTTAGTAGAGTGAATTTACTTTAATAGTGAATTTGAATTTTGATTTAGAACAACAAAATTGATTTAAAATGTGGAGTGTATTTATCATTCAGTATCTAATTGAGTATAAATATAAGAACAAATATAAAATATATCATTCAATTAAAGTTCATTTGAAATAATAATCTGCTTAATTAAACCTCGACCACTGATGGACTCAACTCATTGATATCAAAGCAAAATTGTCAGGCAACTATAGGCAGTGTGATATTCTGACAATAGAAGATAAAATATACATGCCTTTTTAGGTTGCTTTGGCCAATTATTGATGAAATTATCTCTAATTTAAGTTTCCAATTGCCTATACTTCAAAAGCATGTTTTCCATGACCAGTTGTGCTGTTTCGACAATGTCAAGAAACCCCAGGTGACAAAACACAACATTTGAACTGCAACCAGTGTTTCTTTTTTGAATACCCCTGGACTTGGGGTGTGTATAAACCCATAAGCACATGTACAGAGTGTCCCCAAAACTGTCCCCTCTGTTGTTGGTTAATGCACGAGTCAATTCCAGGAGTAACCATCCCCACCCACCCACCCCTCAAAATTTGATTTGATATGATAGTGCAAATACCCGGGTGCAGGGACACAACTAGGAGACTAATGCATGGCCTTGGGCAAGCTGAGAGGAAAATGCCCCACCCCGGGGACGATTTTAAGTGTTTATCAAACTTTTTATGGCATATCGTAGGCATAGTAATTTAATAACATTATACTATTAAACTGCTATGGAATATTATAAAATTTTAATATTGTTAAGAGTGGTTACAAGAATTTAAACAACGAAACCAGAGACCTTTAATAGTTGTATTTAAATTCGCATGGCACAACTAATAATTTTTGCAAAAGTGAGACCATTTGTCAAATCCCCGGGGTCTCATCTACTATAACAGTACCCGGCCCCGGTGTTAAGCGAAATTCCTGACCTCTGCTAAATACCTGACCTAGCGTGACGGGTCAGAAATTTCGCGCGTACAGGCGCGAAATACATGACGCTTGCTAAATTCTAAGTCGGCCAAAACTGTTTTTTAGAGTTTAGATAAAATAATCATGATGTTAATTTCTAATATTTCGTTAATTAAATATTTCAAATCGACATCGCTAAGTTTCAATCACAAACACTTTAAATTTCAAAGCGAATTGTGTGGTCGATCGTGACCGCGAAATACACGACGTTTGCTAAATACGGTCGGTCGAAACGATTTTTAATCCATATGCGATGTTACCAAATGTTTCTATAGCATAGACATCGCCAAATCTAAACGACCAACTCATGAACTTCGAACTCATCGTTGCTGCTTACTAAATAGTGAGAAGGTCAAACGC